ATTTACTACTGGTAGTAATGTTTACATAGTAAAAGGTACTATTATTATAGTCTTCATTTAACTATGGTAATTGAGATGGAATTTCTGATGATAAGCAATGTGATCATACAGGACAACCTCATGTGACCGCATTGCTTAGGGACAACGATCCAGTACTCCTTATTGATGTTCTTAAGCGATGATTGCAAGCCATTATATCACTCCCAGGTGTCTTGCAAGCTGGCAGGTAAGGCATGAACAAGGGTGGCCTGTAAGGCACAGCAAGAGAGCAGCATGGTCAGCAGTAGCTGTTGCCAAGTGGGGTGGGGGTTGGGGTGAGGGGGAAGTGACTTACCAAAACAAATCGCAATCTTTCCTGCTGGCTCCCCATTGACTTTGCTTGTGGGAAGCTGTCAGGGAAAGTTTCAATAGGAAATCACATGACCCCAGGATGCATCAACCATCATAAATGTGAGCTGGTTGCCAAGGGCTCAGATCACAATCAAATGGCTATGAGGGTGGAGAACGTTAAGGACCAGTTGTAAATATCATTACTTCAGCACCATTGTAACTTTGAATATTTGCTGAATGAATGAATGGACATTAAATGAGGACCATCTGTACACACCAAAAATGTGGAATGTATCACTACAGAAGTATGGATTTATCACCCTTAGGTAGTAGCAAAAAAAAAATAGGATGATACTCATCCCAGATCTACAGTGCTTGATGAAAGACTTATGTTCACTTTCTGTTTATGAGCTGGTTGTTCATTGATAAAGCAGATGCACAGTAATCTTGTGTGGTTTGAGATTTAATGACATTGTTTAAAAGTTAATTTGAGATAAACTCCATGATTTCTGTCAGAAAAGAGATGCTCTAAAAGTTGATGGTGGCTGTGGAACCACAAACAGAGAATCAGGAAAAGGAGTATATGTGGTGACAAGAAACTGAAGAAATGCTGACAGAAAAGAAATTACGTTATGACCAGTGCTGGGATTCAAAAAAATTTACTACCGGTTCTGGGGGCATGGCTTGATGGGCGTGGCAGGGGAAGGATACTGTAAAATCTCCAGTCAGAGAGATTTTGGTGGTATTTGCCGGTTCTCCAAACTACTCAAAATTTCCGCTACCGGTTCTCCAGAACTGATCAGAACCTGCTGAATACCACCTCTGGTTAAGATGATGAATAAATCAAGTAGGAGTATTTGTTACATGTTTCACTAGGATAGGCAAAGGAAGGGAAGAAGGAAGGAAGAATTTGGCTGCATTTAATTAGCATTAGTGAATGCTATAAGCTGAGTCAGTTCTCTTCCTTCCACCATGTCCTCTTCAAATTCTTCCTAAGAAAATATGCTTAGCTTTTTTATTTAGAAGTGGGATGCAATAGATGCCTTCTTGATCAATGAAGAACAATAAACTATCTGTTACCATTTCTTGATAGAGAAAGCCACGGTACAAGAGGCAGCTGCCAGCATTTTTTAATTTTTTTTTTAAAAGATAGTAGCCTTCGTACAGAATTTGTACTTAGTCAAGCATATAGGAAAAATCAAATCTTTTCCAAACCTGTAATTATATAGAATGTCATACTGAACAGGCCCTCAAATAATAATTTCATGGTTTGCAAAATATTTCTACTTTTATTTTTAAGAGTTTAATTGAGCTTACCTTTGAATTTTTACACAAATAATCCAAAGAACAACATTTGCCTTTCATCTGTTTCATCACCTGAAAATGGGATATTTTCAAACTGTTACGTTTTGGTCACATCTATCTATAAATCAAATTTCAGATATTTGTAAACATATTTTCTTACTGCTATCACGGTTATAACTCATAAAATATTGAGAAAAAGCCTTCACCATGCCCCCTCCATTTACTAATTTGGAAAATTGATTATGTTTGTTGAATTGGTGACATGGGAAACTGCGGTTGATAGGAAACTCAGCTATACATGTGAATCCTAATTGCAAACCCACAGAACCTTGCTATAGCCACTAAACTTTGTGGTGGATACTTTGTTTGCAATTTGTGGATGAATCATAATGAACAACTCCCTCCCTTCACAACATAGAAACTGTTGTTTGTCTGACAGTCAAACCCAGTTCTGTTTGGAAGGCTCTGGAACAAACAAACTTCAACAAAGACTTAGATTCTTCAGGGAAGTTAAGCTCAAGATTTATTGTGATATGAGCATGGTCAAAACAGCAAGATCATGGGATTAAGCGATTGAAGAATTAGTTTCAGATATTATTTTAGCAGCCTGCAAGCCTGACTTAGAGTTTAATAACATGGTCTCTTAAGTCCCAGCAAGCTTCAGGTGTATGGATGCACCCCCACCAATAGCAGAGGTTTGGCTCTTCTTTCAAGAAGACTTCTCTTTCTGACTTGTAGATGGGGTAGACTGCTTAGGTTTCATCCTTTGATGCTGGTGCTCCTTATTGGGGGGTAATCCAGATCCTCTCTCTGTACCTGATAGAATTCCTTTTATCTCAATAGAGCATATTCTAGTTAAGTAAAACCTCCATGATGAAGCATCAGCTTGGATCTTCTGGTTAGAGTGATATGATTTTTCCTTCAAAAAAAAAAAGAAGAAAGTTAGAAAATGATAGAAATACTGTATATTAAAGTATAGACTTACATTAATTTGTGAAGTTCTCTTTACCAGGAGGTGTAAAAGTATATGTAGGCAGGTAATCAACCATAATTGAAACCACACATAATTTTGCCACCCAACAACAGTGAATTGGAAGGAGGTACAAGTCAAATAGGTTTGCCATGAACATAGTCTTCAATGACCTGGTTCCCACATAAGAGGAATTACAAACAGATGGAGAAACAGCTGAATTATATTGCAGTACAAGCAGTAACATAGTGGTTGTTGGTGTTGCACAACCAAAAAATATCTGCTTGAATCACAAAACAGGAATTTGTGATGGATAATTTTTAAGTTGGGAAAGTATAATTTTCTCTAAAATAAAGTAAAAATGATTGAAATCATTTTAGTGTTGAAGAATCTTTAAGAAGAATAGCGATGAATTTTCATAGGTAATGCTAATATATACCTATTCTATCTAAAATAGATGCTTAGGAGGTTGGGAACTGTGATAGGTATGTTTGCTTCTGATGATATGGGGATCACTCTGTATTATTAGTTTCATGAGTTTTATAAGCCTCGGTGGCACAGTGGTTAGAGTGCAGTACTGCACGGTACTTCTGCTGACTTTCAGCTGCACTTTGCCTGCACTTTGGCAGTTCAAATCCTACCAGACTCAAGGGTGACTCGGCCTTCCATCCTTCTAAGGTGGTTAAAATGAGGACCCAAAATTGTTGGGGGCAATATGCTGACTCTGTAAACCATTTAGAGAGGGCTATAAAGCGCTATAAAGCAGTATATAAGTCTGAGTTCTATTGCTATTGCTATTTATAAGCCCAAGGTAGGAAAAACCCATTTAAGTCACATTAAATTAACTAATTGGTTTGTATAGGATCAAATTGGATTAAAAAAATGCTATTTTCCAAATGAAACTAGGTTCTGCTAGCTGATTTACAGTGTATTTTAAAGCCCACTTTTTATATTATATATAATATTGATCTTTAATATTTATATTTTAATACATATGAAAAACATGAGGGTTTCTTTGGATGCTGTACTTTAAGGAGAAGGCTTGCATGGTTCTTTGTAGTTTCCTGAGTTGGTGAAACACAGTATATTTTTTCACACAGAAATAGAGATAATTTTTCTAGGAAAAAAGACCCCCATTTATTAAAAAATATTATGTCACAATCTACACTTCCATAAAAATAGTTACTTAGTACAATACACTCTATAGTGACAGAAGAATTGCTAAAATTTACCTTGGCTCGATGCATCCTTGGTCCTGTTTTCCATCCTCTTCTTTGCTAGAAAAGTTGAGGGATTTCAGTAGAAACTGAAGACATACATAAATCATGCTAATCTAACTGCTCTTGTGACATTAATTAATGTCTCATAATTCCCCTGAAAGCTCAGTGTGGGTTTTTCCTAATTTTATTTCCAAAACACTTAGTGAGATTATTGGATTGAGATACTTATCCACCCAATCATATACAGATAGCATCTTTTTGTGGGCTGAGGCTTATTTAATATTTTTGGGAAAGAAGAGGGGCATGGGCCCTGCTATTGTTCCTTTCCATCAATATTTTTTGAGGATCTGAGGATTTGCTTTCTTTTTAAGTTATTTTAAATCTAGTTTTAAGTCTGCTTAAGATTTTAAATTTTAAGTCTAGTTTAGAGACTCTACTACATTTGTACAATTTCCTCAATAGGAAGAAAATCATGTTTCTGATTTTCAGCCACTGTAGATAAAGAGAGCCCAGAGAGTTGCAAAAAACAAAAGAGATGGGGTGTCTCAAGGGATCCAACATTCCATGTCCATGGTCTCTGAAGAAATTTAGATCTTCCCAGTCCAACAGCTTAGCCACAATTCCAGAGATTTGAAGTGACTTCAAAAGGCAAAATGGCTATGGCATCCTGATGTCTCCTTAAAATCCACAGATACACACACCGCTCACATTGGACATTTTTTCACATTTTGGGGTAGTTTATGCAGTGCACTACATGCCTTAAGTCTCCAGAAGTTTAGTCCTTAATTCCCCCTCCCTCAAAAACATTTCTAAAAGGATTTGCAGTTCTGCAAATATTGCCCAAGCCACTTTGATGACACCCCTAATCCTTTGGCCTCAAAACAGTTGTCAGATGAAAAAATACTGTCCATCTCCTAATTGAAATGGTGATGAGAAATATCTTCTAATCCTTATAACAGCTCAAAGAGTATTCAACTTTGCCTAATATTGCAGATTGCAGGGCAGAGTTGACAGGAAGTGGCCTTGTAATAAATATATTGCAGCAATTAGATTAGATTAAAACTGTGGGCTCAAATTTTAGTTACTACAGTATACAACGTAAAGGATTATAGTTGAAGATTAATGTACTTTAATCATTAATCGAACATGACTTAAACTTTACTCTCTTTTTGTAGGGGAACCTATAGAAGGTCTTCGAGAGAGTGATTACCTATTGATTCATTCATGCCGACAGTGGACAACTATTACAGCTCATAGTCTAGAAGAAGGCCATTACGTCATAGGGCCGAAGATAGAAATTCCAGTGCATTATCCCGGTAAGTGTAATATTCTTCAGTTGTAGACTTCAGAAAACTGAATAGTTAACTACTCGGTTTATCAGCTACAAAAAGACTACCCCTGAAAGAAACCATGACAACAATTTCAGCAAAATAAGATATATAGAAATACTGTAGTTTATCTCTACAGCAGAAATATTTGATATGCTTCTGTTAAGAGGTGTGATTTATCTAATAAAGTTTCATTGACTGCTGAAGAAAAATAGTATGTGTCTTATGCAAAGGTATTGCAATGTACAACAAAAATTTTGTTTCCTGAACACTTTTGGGTATATCTTGCAGACTTGGGGCTATTAAACATAGACATAAACTTAAATTTAGCCTATCATGTACCATTTTATAGAAATCTGTTTTTACAAGTGGCAATGAACCCTTTCAGTAGCTTTTGGCAATAGGCTGTACATATAAAAGAAACATTAAAACATGGAGCTGTTCTTGAAGCACATCCAGTACATCAAGATCTCCAATATCTGTGGAGATCTAAAAGTAGTGGCTCTACTGCTTGGAATGCAGCTCAGATATACCAAGCACTGTTGTTACGTATGAGAATGAGGCAGCCATGCAAGAGGGTTGCATTATATGAAAAAGAATTTGGTTCCAGTACCAAAAACATGGCACATGAAATACTTGTTGAGAAATATATTTTTGCCTCCACTTCACATAACACTTGGATTGATGAAAAATTTTGTGAAGGTGGTGAGCAAAGGAAGATTCTTGTTATTTGAGACAGATGTTTCCAAGAATAACTGATGCCAGTATTAAGGAAGGTATTTTTGTTGGTCCACAGATCAGATACATCATCAATGACAAGTAGGTTGAAGATAGTGAGGCCAGAAAAAAATGCCTGGAAAGCATTCAAGAATGTCTGAGAATTTTCTAGGCAACTACAGAGCACCAAACTACATTCAGCTGGTTGACAAACTTCTTACAGCCCACAAGACCATGGAGTGCAATATGTCACTGAATATTCATTTTCTGCATTCAGACTTAGCCTCCTTTCCCAAAAATCTAGGTGTAGCCAGCGATGAACATGGTGAAAGTTTTCACCAGGACGTTGCCACAGTGGAAAATGGTTTCATGGAAAATGGAATCCCTCAGTGTTGACACTCTTGTTGGACCCTGCAATGAAATGGATCAGACACCGAGCACAAACAAAAATCAGCAGCAAAACACTTTCAGCCTCATTGAGCTCCTGCTGCATGTTAGAAACATTATGCAATTAAATACATTATAATGATTAAAATTTAATTTTGTTTTTCTCAAGATTCCTACATAATATAATCATTCTGAAATTATAAGTGATTCAGTTTGATCATTAAAAGTTTTTCAGGAAGTAAAATTTTTGAAAAAAATTGTTGCACAGTGATCAGAAGTCATTGTAAAAATGGTTAAGATCCAGCTACGTTGCATTTAAAATGTTTATCTAAGGACATGATATCCTTTTTTAATTAGTTTTCCATGTGAACTGTGGAAAAGGTGTCAGCAGGTTGGTTGGTTGGTTCTCTTGTAAACAAGTATTGGGTAGGGAGCCTCTTCCAGTGTACTTTGATTGTGCTTAATCTTTGTAGGGTGACTATGTTGATAATGCAGATGGGGTGGAGGCAGTCTATAAAATTTTATTGTGTTTATGGAATAAACCTGGATTTTCTTTCTTTTTTAAAATTACTTTAAGTCTGTTTTAGGGTTTATGACACAATTTTAAGTTTTTCTCATTTCAAAATGGAAGGATATTTTGTTACACTTTCCAACAACCATAGACAAAGGTACACCTGGAATTGCAAAAAATTGTTAAGTGGTAGTAAATTGCATACCATTACTGTACTCGTTACATTACTTAAAGTTCATCCTGATCTTTTCTTTCTAGCAAACTTCAGGAATCCAGTGCTCAACAGGTTCTACAACTAATATATATATATATATTTGTTTTCTGAGGTTCTCGCGGGTATTTGTATGTGGATCTTTGGTTGTTCGGGTTTTCTCCCG